TCTCGCTCTCTATGTTCAGTGTCCATTATGTTGGACTTAACACTTGTGACATGCAGGTATGTCCTGGACACTCTGAAATACTTGCTTCCCCACTGTTCGGAACCTTTGCTATTTTACATCCAGCTTGAATATCTAATAACCTCAAAACAACGGCGTCAAAATCCGATATCCCTTTTCACAACCAAACTCGACCACCAGCACTTCAGCTGGTGTGGGCATCTTTAGAATGGGTCGGGGGTTGTGATCGGGAGCTTGCGTACTCACAAAACTAATTATCTTGGTTCTTTCCGCTGCGACTGTCTGAGGAACGGTTGAATTTAAGAACCACATCAGTGAAGCAGCGACGCTTAGTATTTGTCGAAACTTTGAAATTTATAACTTACGATTACTTGGTATAACACACCACTGCGGCTTTTTCATTCAGATCTCTCAGATGAGATAGGTTTCACTTCACCTGATATGCTGGTTTTGTGGAGTCCACTGACTTCTGTGCGCTTTCACACACTCATGGCAGTGGTTCACCCATACTCTGGTAATCATAAGGTAGCAACGGACTTACAAACTTAAGCCGACAATTACTTATGGCGTTCTACGCAGTTCGGTCTACATACTGATTACAAGGGAGTAGTAGTGGAGTTGAATGGTAGAGGTAGAAATTCATCACATCTAGACTCAGTCAGACAGCTATCACGCCCGTAGCTTAGTGGTCTCAAACACAGACTGGCAATAGTCGAGTTGCGTGTTCGAGCCCTATGGGGATCAGACAGAATGCACATTGCTGATGATTTCAGCAAGGAAGAAACGTCTGTACAGTGTTTCTCCGGACTACCTGACTTAGTTTAGATGTACTGCATTTCTACCTCTGCTATTCAACTCCCTCTGCTACTCCCTAGTAGTTAATTGGCTGCTTAAGTTCGGTAAGGAGAGACTACCTTGTCCTCTGCACGGTAGTAATGGACACGCCATTGGAGAGTGAGCGGTTATATCACATCTAGTAACTTAGTCACGATGATTGTTACCGCCACTGGTAGCTCAGTGGTGTCAACCACAGACAGGCAACAGTCGAGCTGTGCGTTTAGGCCCTAAAGTGGTCAGATGAAATGCGCACTGCTGATGAATCCCTAAAGATTGGAACGGTCGTACGGTGCTTTTCCAGGCGTTTGATGGCTACCTAACAGTCTACATGTGATGAATTTCTACCTCTACCAATCTGGTAATCGTCCGTTCGTCTTCTGATGTTCATTCGCTCCATGTCACTTAATCGACCTCGTCTCCCATCACCTTGTGTCTGGTAGTTCGTTTAAAGATCATGCTGAACAACAACAACAAAACAGCAACAGCAGCAGTACATCAACCAATTGCACTGATGCTGTGCCGCCGTACAACCTCAGTAACCTACGGAACGAAGAATAGTAAGAGGGAGAGAAGGGGGACCTAGCGTAAAACATTAATACCTTAGCAAATATTCAGAATCAATATGCCTACGCCTTGTACCAACTACATACTGTCAGAAACGGCTGGTTATAGCGCAAAGATTAGCAAGCATCTGCTAGATAGCTTTCTTGCAGCTTTCACTGCCCGCGTCACAATTAGCTGTGACTCCGCAGATAATACAGCATCAGATGCACTTTAACTAGGCAGTCCAGTTGAGGAACGACAACAGACGCGCCACTGTTGCCGATTGCGAGCCATATCCTGTGACGTCTCAAGCCAAACACAAAGCGGGCCACGTGGATTCCAGCCTGGAAGAGGAACCTGACCATCGGCACCCAGTTTAGTTGTCAGCAGCCTAACTTAACCTACTTAGAGCTTTGCGTCACCCTACATCCGGCATACAAATAAGGTGACCGTGCATGTATGGCACTTTTCCAGGCCAACGAAACTTATTCAATATTAGTTATTGTTCTAAGGAACTAACCTGCTTTTCACCGCCGAGTACTCGTCTACACACATCGTCGCAAATCTGTTGGTGCCAGTCGACACCAACAAGCTCCCTAGACAGCATTGACAAAAGACTTGGAGGCACCTGCGCGGAACTCAGTGGGGCAGGGATACTGCTCATTTTCAAATTGAACCCATCTCGTCACGTGTTCCTTTATTCGGGAAGTCAAAGACCGGTCATTTCCGCCTATATAGCTGGAATCGCAGTTACACACAAATTAGGGTATGTATTGTGAGTTGGCCCTAATTGATTGAGCTTCCTTCGTTGGAGGCACCGGCAAGTTACTAGTTCCCTTAATGACCACAACTTGAGCAGCACTGTAACTTCTCTGCGTAGCAAAGATTAAAAGCTTCATGGTTTTCACCACTGTAAAGTCACACTTGAAAGGTAACTCGGTATAGATCTTTTTCTTGGCTGCCGTATGCGTAAGTTCCCTCGGACTCGCTGTTGGCTATGCTTCTCTATAAGTCTACAAAGATAACTATTTGCCATGATTGTTGTACTCAACTCTAGCTCGTTGCCAGACAACCAGCCGAACAAATTCGTCTAACATGAATAACTAAAGTTTCCACAAGCGTCTACTTGTACCGCAATGATGTGAAGCTGGTGAAGTACAGGTCTTGGCTGGAACATGTTGCTTTTCTGTAGACAGATCTCTTAATGAGTACGTCATCTCTGCGACTGAAAAGGGTATCCAGGAATGTCACACAGTCCCACTTCACAGATGACCCGCAAGCTGATCTGTGCACTGTTAAGTTGCTGCAATAACTGCACAATCTGCTGCTCTGACGAACAAATGCTATCCAAATAACGCTTGCCTAGTTCTGTAGAAACGCGTTATTCTGTCATCAGCATGATGCAGTAGGCAAGTGCAGGGCCTGGTAGATTACCCATTGCTACTCCATCGGTTTGACGGTCTGGCATGTTCTGAAAGTGGAGGCCAACGTTTCCAGTACACAAAAGCAAGGATTCCTTCAGAAATTCGACTGGAATCGATAACGAATAAATAGATTACTCAGCTAGTTCACATTTGCAAGTAACCGTTATTGTAGCAGGACGTTGGTGAACAGATTCCACATCCAAAGAACACACAACCTTATCAGACGAGTTGCTGTTATCTAAATCATCGATAAGTTGAAATGAATCCTAAAGATTATGGATTAGGCCATTTTTGCAGCGGCGAACTAGTTTATGCGGTGGCGCATTTATCATTGGTAAAGTCAGCCTTAGTGGCACTCCGCTCCTGTGCGTCTTCGATGACCCACACACCTGCGGAGTAGTCCTGCCATTTAGCTTCACACAATTATAGGTGTCACTGTCGATCACATGATGAAAGATAACCGTTTCAAAGTTGTCGTCTTTGCGGGCTCAACGTCGCCTATGTTACCCACTTTCATGAGTCTATCAAATTTGCTCGTGTCGTTGAGTATGATACTCATTTTTTGTGCGCACTTGTTGATGACCGGCACTCCAAAGCCCTTATCCGATTTCACCACAACTACCTTCTTTGTACGCAGTTCAGGTAGTGCCTGAAGGCATTGCTTTGCAAATAAGCAGCTGCATCAATCCGTCTTCTATGTTGGAGACCACCTGATGGGGCTCCAAATGGCTTGGACTTTTGCAAGCTATGGCTCGTAATCAAAATCATTGGCGTCAATACTGTCCTAGAATTTTTTCATTTAACTTTCATTTATAAACAACAGACAAAGTTCAAGACGGCGTGTGTGATGCACTAAAAAAGAACAAACATGCCGTTTTCCTTTGTTGAACAGGCCATTTTCCATTCCATTACAATCATTGTTCATGTGCCACATTTATCTGTTCTCAGACTTGTGAGTATAACTATGTCCTTCTCTATGCGTTGCTCGCGCATGACTTGTTAGTTCAGAACACTACAGCAAGGTTAGGTTTTGTCAATCTGATGCATACCGCTTAAGCGGTAGCAAGTAACCGAGTCCCTGACCGATGATGTAGCTGCGATCGCACTCGATAGAAGATCTCAAATGACTTGCGCTTATCAATCAGATGACCGGTGCAGATCAGATGGTGAGTTATTGCACTCAACTCAGTTTTGTCCTGTTGGGTGACGAGCGTAGTTGATAAATGTCCCTTAATTCGCTTTTCCAAGTGTCTGGTCGTGCGTCTAATGTACCTAGCCCCACAGGATCAGGTGAACCGGTAGATTACCATTAATTGTCGTTGATCAAGCATCTTGTCTTTGAGCCTAGGAACAATGAGCGAACTGTTTGTAAAGACGACACTTAATTGAGCTGCATTAAAGGTCTTTCGGCAAGTCTGTATCAGCCGTCGTGTGCATATCTCAGCCGGAAGATCTGTAGGACACAATCGAAGATGAAATGAAGTGAATTAAGCAAATGCTTCTCGAAAACGGTTATCCAGAACAATTCATTGACGTTCATATAAAGCCTAGTAGCCCAAGATCAGCAGTACAAACGGTAGAGAGAAAACAGCTATTTCTCCAGTTTCCCTTTAAGGGTGATTTACCGTCTGTAATATGCACACGACGGCTGATACCGACTTGCCGAAAGACCTTTAATGCAGCTCAATTAAGTGTCGTCTTTACAAGCAGTTCGCTCATTATTCCTAGATTCAAAGACAAGATGCTTGATCAACGCCAGTCAGTGGTTATCCACCGGTTCATCTGCTCCTGTGGGGCTAGGTACATTAGACGCACGACCAGACACTTGGAAAAGCGAATCAAGGAACATTTACCAACTACGCTCGTCACCCAACAGGACAAAACTGAGTTGAGTGCAATAACTCACCATCTGATCTGCACCGGTCATCTGATTGATAAGCGCAAGTCACTTGAGATCCTCTATCGAGTGCGATCGCAGCTACACCATCGGTCAGGGACTCGTCTACTTGTTACCGCTTAAGCGGTATGCACCAGATTGACAAAACCTAATCTGTGCATTCAGAAGAGGCATGTCCAAGCATTACAACTATAGCAAGCATGAGAGCCGCTTTTCATGGCTCTGGCGCATCGAGACACGTTTGTCTTTCATCAAATCATTTTTGTTTTTGATTCCGATAGTGCCAGTGGGAAGCGTCTCATGTCTCGCGTACGTCAGCTACTGAACGAGAACGAGCGTTTGGGACGTGCTACCCACGCAGAAAGGATCGCAGTCTTAGAAGCTGATGCAGAATCACAAAAGACATGCATCAAGGAGTTTAAGAAAACGCATGAAGGTTAGCATACTAATGTGTTCATACAACATTTCATCTGCATTATCAGCTTAATCTCGACGTCTCGATGCTGCTGGACCCTTGTCACAACATGTCTCATCACCGATACTTGTGACGGATGTACACGGCCAGATGTGACCTAAGCTATTAGTTGACCATCTCGTCCATTTTGAAGTCGCTCAAATGACGTATGAAATCATGCAACGTATCCTTAATATAGCTGAGTTCACTTTTCAATGTGCATCATCCCACGACCTCTTGAATTTCCTAATGAAAGTCGAATCCATCAAAGCCTTAGTTTCTTCGGCGTTAGATCCATTATTCCGTTGCTCAACTAAAGGCGGTGGAGTAGTGTGACACACACAGACAACTTACTTGCCTTGGTGCCCGCTTTCGATTGAGTCGGTTGCGCCTATTTGGAATACAAACCACCAAATCAATTCCTTTTTAATTTGTATGAATATACAGTGGGTCGCTCTTTGTTTATCATGATAATCGAAACGCATTAGGGATGCCCTATTTCTCGTTTTCCACTTGAGCTCAGCTCAATTAATTGTCTGATTCTGCTGCACTGGGATTTCAGCCGAATGATCGGCTCACCGATCTTGATTACTTGAACGGTATAGCGCTACTTTGGTGTAGCTGATTTGTTATGCAAGTGCTTCTGCATGTACTAACGCTGAACATTTGGACATGTGATATGCACTCCCAAACTAAGAGTTGCAATTACGTACTTGGGCTGATATCCTACTAGTTTCCATGATTACTAGAAGAAAACGTGTATTAGCAATACGCTGGGACCTTGCATCGGCGCTTCGCTTCCTCTCTATGACCACTGACTGCATGCGGGCTAGTGTACAACGATCCCCCGGAATTTCTGCCCACCTGTAGCCTTAAGCGTCACAAGCCTACCTTGTAAACTGAGGGCGCGGGTTTGAGCCTGCCTAGGGACAGGGAGACCCTCGCAGTATCCTTAGCCGACGTGCGACTGGGGGTGGTTGCACGACAGCGAAGCGTCGGTACTTCGTACCGGCGTACTGCTGGCGCTTCTTTCCCCGAAACCCACCGCTCCACTCATCCACGGTTGATCCCAGTCACTCTGGCTGACTCGGAATTTGCGCCTGGTTTTTGAGCTCTTCTGCTTTTGTTACCTTATCTATTAGGCATTGTACCATGACGATCTGTGCACATTTTGGAAATTTCTAGTCAACGGAGTCGAATCAATGGATGCTGCTAACGCAGTCTGCCCAATGAACTGTATATACACAGCGCTTTCCATCTTACACATTCCACTTTTGAAATTTGCTTGCACAATCCTCTGGCTCTTTGTCAAACCTGAACACCGCTGAGTCGTGCGTCCTGTGCCAAACTCCGTGACACCATTTTCCTACTTATTTTGGCTGTTAAAAGAGGGAAGCACACTTTGAGATCAGTCAAATACATGTCTTGGGCCACAATTTCGGCGTGACAGTCACGACAGCTGCTTAGACAGAAATCAGGGACAGGTTATAGCCTGTAAAGGCGCGCTTCTTCCAGTATCCGAATGCGCGTGCTAATGAGCATTACTGAAGTCAGCTAGTTCGTGTTTGTCAGAAATCCTGTGGCGCCTGTTACACCTGAACCTATTACATTGACTAGTACATCTCCTCCGTATGCCCGTTGCCCGGCTTCCTTGATGCGCATTATGCGCCGTCACTGCAGTTAGTTGCGCGAAACCGCAAGGTGACCACTCGATGACGAAGGTATGAAGAGGTCGATCGAACGAATTCATCAGGCGGTTGTGTTGCGTCTTCGGGGATGGCGGCCTCTGGATGGTTCACGTCTGTGGTTGTAGACCCTATCGGACTTAACACAGTCACGGAGTGATGGGTGCTCCGACACTCGGCTCGTTGCATCTAGCTGTTAGCATTTTATCCCGGTTAATTTTATTCACGTCTTTCTTAATTCAATTTTCCTTGTTTTCCTTTTCACTTCACTTTTTTCATCAGTTATTTCTTGTTGACGCGGATCGTGGCAAGCATACTTCGGTGATCGGTATGACTGAACCGAATCGAACTGTGCAACTTGTTCGTAATAGTCATTTATGTGGACCTTTGGTGGCTAGGTAATTCTTATGTAAATTTGTTCGTCATTAGCCTCCAGATCACCTCGATGAACATCTACAGAATTGACGCAGCAACAACCGTGATGATTTCAACTGTAGAGTGGAGGTGAATTTTTTATTGCCCAAGTGATTACCGCTCTTCATTTTCTCCCTCGTTTGGTAGGAATTGAAGGTGTCCTGGAAGAAGTTTACACTGATCTGGAAGGACTACAGAACAACTTGCTTACCGTACACCAGCAAGTGAACGAAATCGAGACCGCTATTAACGTCATGCAGGTAAATGACATCTTAACTTTAACCTTTTTGCGTTTATCCCGCTATTTTCATTACCACCTCTTCGGCAAACGGTCACTTGACAGATGTATGTTGATGGCTTGTGCCGCCATTGTAACTACATTGTAAACTCGGAAGAATAATCGGGGATCCGTGGTATGGTGCATCAAGTGTTTGACTCGCAATGTCTGCGCCCTGTGCTCCAGCCTCCGCTCCTCCTGCAATATCCCACCAAGCGTGCAATCACTTTAGGTTACGATGTAGACAGAAAAGCACCAGAAGTACGCCGGTACGCAGCACCGACGCTTTTTCTGCCGCGCGACCAACACCGGTTGCATGTGGGCTAAGGATATTGTGTCAGTCGCCCTGTCGCTGCGCAGGCTCGAACCCGCACCGTCAGATTGCAAGACAACGTCGCTACCTTTCGGTTACCATGTCATCAGGGATATACCGAAGGAATATGCTCGGAAGCGCACTAGTGGAAAGCACGGTAACTCCGGAGCTGAGCCACACTCCGTCGGCGTATAATCACCCTTGAACAAGGGAAGCTTAATGCTTCAGGGTCACGAAAGCATCCAAACCGAAGTGACAATGCAGACATAGCCAACTTTTGTGAGCTTCTGATCCGTGAGAGGTCGGTATCTGCTGACCATTCACCAGTGACTTCTACAAGATGGTCACTAAACCGCGGCCTGTTAGCATTGAAGCATATTTCTACCTTGACTACAGGACTTGATGTATGTTGCCGGACAGCGTTGTATTTTGCCATATCTGCAACCATTCACCGCACCTTGGCCTATGTTTCGTTGTGTGTGTTTGTGTTTGAAAATTTACACACGCTGACCGGTGACATTGTCCGCCTTTCCGTTTGCATGCACGCGTCAGTCTTCCATATACCGTTGCCCTTCCTTAGTTTTTCTCGGTGAAATTGCCTGAAGAATACAACCAAGAAAGAATTCGGCTTTAGAATGCAGCAATGAGAGTGATCAACACTCAGTGTTTGCCTAATTCCGGTACGTTATCGGAGATTGAAACGACTGAAATCTGCTTCAAAATGATTCATGTTCCAGCTTGAGGTTGTGTGTCGCACTCAGGACACAGCGAGTACTCCAAAATACCGGATAGTAATTTCCCAATCTCCGCGGACGCTGATGGTGAAACTGTCTGTCTGGTGTCCTCACACCCCGAGTCCGGATCCGACTTGTGGCTTTCTCCCAGCAAGGACGAAACTTCCTGCCGAGTGTAATCTCAAGTGGTACGTGTTGACCGCCTGGACCACCTAGTGATTTAGTACATATCGTGGGCTTTAGCGTGGTCAGAAACTGCTACTTATCGTGCGCCCGGGTATATAATACAGATAACAATAGGTATATTCTCAACCATCCCACCACGCTATGCGAAGTAAATTCAAGCTGAGGTCACAAATAGTTTTGCATATCCTTTTCGTTAGTTATTTCACCAGCAGTTTTGACCAATCTTGTGATATAAGTTGACGCCTATCACTCCAGAAAGATTACAGTCCAGGTCACAACCCCGGAGAAAATAACAGTAATTAGCGGAGTAAAACGCAAACGGTGCATATGATTGATAGAATTTACGCCACTTCACAATGACCTGGTTCCTTCAAACTGCCGCACTTTGTTTTTAGGTAGAGCTGGAGAATAGGAACCCTGGACGCGTGTCGGAGCTACTAAAGGAGTTGTACTCCAGTATTGTTCAACAGCCGGAAGAATTCACTCTCCAGTTGGACGATCCAGAAAGATGCAACCCTCCCAATGATGCGTAGTTGCCGTTCCGCTACGTTTGACGAGTCATACTTATTCCACATGTATATCCCACTACAACCTCCTTCTTTCGCTGTTTTCTTGTCGTAGCTTATCTTTCAACCGTGTCTGAATGTGGCCTAAGAGATCACAGTGATCATGTTCCGCATGAGTTTTCCCAATCTGACTATTTGGCCCAAGAAACTGTTCCGTGCGATCCACAATTCGTGATCGGTGAACGATTAATCTCGGTGTTTATTCACACTCGGTTGTATACTTACCGGTGAACCCGTCACCGACATACGCGCGGAAGCACACCGACCATGGATACTCCGAAAATATATATGACAGACGAATGGGACTCATTTTGGCGCGCAACAGACCGTGTGGCTTGATAGTCGACACTTCGCGGTATTTGCCTGGCAATACTGATAGAAGCAGCTGGCACTTTCCGGTTTGCAAAGCTGCTTGGATTGGTCATACAACCATGACGAATCCGGGAAGGCAATACGTGATCTGCTTGTCCCATTAGAACTCGGGGATATCCGATTTCGAGGCAGCAACCTAACCACTGAGCCAGAAATTCATAACGAATATACTTAAGATTGCTCAGTTCCTTGGTGCATGTGAATACACGGCAGGTCCCGCTGAAATTCTCTCCGACACACACTGAGCATACTGCGATTCACTGGGTGTGCCTGCTGTTTACCATACAATTTCGCGCTTTTTTATCAGCAAGGACCGTTGCCATGTTTTCTCTTCTTTGTATTCTCTCTGCGTTCTACACCACCCTTTTTACCGTCGTTCTTTATTATTGTTATGTTAGTGGCGGCAACGATCCACCGCACTTTGGTGCCCCGATCATACCGAATTGAACTGAACCGATAGCTACCAGACTGAGTATCGTGTGATTTTCGCAGTTTCTCTCGCTGAATGCGTCGACAGTCTATCAATCAACACTGAACCACTGTAAACACGGCATTCGCCTGTGTGTTTAATTGGTCTACTTTAGCTCTCTTCGCATGTGGATAATGTTTGCACCTAACCATGTATCGAATGTGAAGGTTAGCGTATAGTTTTTTTAGATAAAGTGCTCTATGGTCTGCTGCGCATAGGAATCTGCTTTCACAATTAACTAGGGCGTTTATTCCGCCCCCGTTCGCCTCACTTATTTTTCATTCGCTGACTCGCATTAACGAAATTTAGCGACGTAGCTCTAACTGAAAAAGTTTTGACCAAGTTTTTGACCAATTTCTGATTTGACTGCCTGCCTGCCTGCTGGATACTGGTCGCATGGCGCTGCTAGTCTCGACGGTATTCTTTGCTGGTCCCGTAGCCTAAAGGTAGCGAGCTTGTCTTACATTCTGACGGCACGGATTCGAGACTGCATAGGGGCAGGGTGACCCTCGCAGTATCCTTAGCTCACATGGGACCGGTGGTGGTTGCGCGGCAGCGAAGCGTCGATACTGTGCACTGACATACTGCTGATGCCTTTCTTTCCCAAAATACAAATTAGTGTGGCTCAATTCCGAGTTTGTCGAACTACTCGTTCGGACACCATCATCAACAGCAAAACATCAGCCATTTAGACTAGTGTTTCGCTGCTATAAAATCAAATCGATCTAGGGAATGAAGGGCAGTAAGAGAGGGAAGGACCTAGGGTAAGGCCTAGACGCCTTAAGCAAACACTCGCCAAGGCACCTACACTTTGCGAACAACACAATCACATAGTAGGTTATCGTACGAAGATAAGGTGGTATTGGCGAGACGGTTTCCTTGCGGCTTCCAATGCTCCGCGTCATAATCAGATCTATGCCACAGATAATTCTGTACCACGCATTTTAAACAGCTAATCCGATTAGGAGACGATAGCGAACGGTGCGCTAGTTCAGGCTTCGAGCCACATTCTGCAGTCTCAAGCTAGATACCTGGCGGGCTCTGTGGATTCCAGACCGGAGGACGAGAAGGACCAGTTCAGTCGTCACTGGCTTTATTTCCTGCTGTCAAGTTAACTGTTGCCCCTGTGAGCTATCCGATTTGGTACAAACCAAACATACAGAGCACGCGCCAAAGCCACTTGATCACTATGTTGTCCAGGGAAACAAACATTACTTATTACTGTTTAATATTCACCGTTGCAGGCACGTCAACGCCATCCGCAAGTAATGACGGGTCAAACAACAGTCTTGAAAAACTGTTCCCCTCTAGACACAGCTTTACCGACCGAGAAAGATCACGTCATCGAATTGCAACCTTTCACTCTGCCCCACTAGGTACAACGCACACCCAAGAAGGCGGTCAACGGAGGATATGCCCTAGAGTCTTGGCAAACTCGGATGAGAAACCAGAATGCCTGCCAAAAGCCAACTGATGGACTTCAGCATTATTCATCTAGTGTTCTTAACGCAGATGAGCAATATTCCATAAGCACCAAAGAACAAACACGGCCACGAATGTAATGTTTTCACCGCGAACTGACCAGGTCTCCCGTCAATACAGTAACACCGCCCTTATTACAGCTTTATATTCCCTACCATCCACTGACAGGCTGATATCCCGCCATCTCCATAGATAGTTGAGTCTCTGGAAAGCCACACGGGCTTTGCTGTTACGCGAAGTAACCTCCCCAGTGATGTGAGCACTAGAGGTGACACAGCTACCAAGGTGCATGAACCGATCCACCACTTACAGTGGATGTTCGCTGATAGCGACAACCAGTGGTTTGTCGGTCCATTTATGCAACAACATTTTGAAGGTACAAGCCACATGCCGAAGTGTGCAACACTACGCGCCAGTTCTTTCGGAAGTGCTTGCACAGCCACTGTGTCTTATCCAAGGCGAACTACCGTATATTACCGAATACAAGCCCTTCCCCGGATAAGCTGACAGTATAACTTTGCAATATAAAATCAGTCCAAAGTCGCAAGTCCCTATATTAGCCGACTATCCCAAAAATCAGCAAAAATAGAAAGGAAATTGTTTCTTCACGATTTTGACGTCATCATTACCTGCTGTCACTTGAGTGTGTTCAAGCAAAACCTGGTCGTACCGTATAAGCGCTCTCGATTCGCTACCCAAATTAACGCCAATGCGACGTCATGATCCAGCTGAGAGAGAAGGTGCTCACATTTCGTGCTATCTTCTAAAGCCGTGGGAACGTGAAAAAATGTCTCGACAGAAACAGTACGTATGTGCTGCTGGCTTTAAATTGAAAGTTGTCGCGTTTGCCGAGCAATCTGACAATTTTATGGCTGCACGTCATTTCACCGTGAATGAAAAGCAAGTGAGAGAATAGCGAAAGAAGTTAGATTGTTACTAATGTCTGTAGGTAAGAAAGCAACACGCGGTGGAAGAGACATGTTCCCCGTACTGGTGGAAAAGTTAGCGCAGTGGGTTATGGAGTCAGGACACAGTGGGCTAATTGTTACCCGAAAAAACATTCGGATCAGGGCACACACAATGTTAAAAGATCCTTAATTCCAGCCAGTCACTATCGCGTGGTGTTAAAGGAAGATAGGGGCAGAGGTGTGCAATGAATACCTGTGACATTTTTATAAGCCGGCTTCCGTCTACAGAAATAGAAAACTCCAAAAGTATCTGCTTCTGTTCGGTAATATAGGGTGTCTGCGTACTTAAGATTTGTCAATCGATCACCTGACAGAACTTCCACTCCAGAAGAGATTGAATGAACCGAGTCATTCGTGATCATTTAGATCACCAAGTTGAAGAAGAAAAAAATATACGACAACCCTGGCGAACCCCACTTGTCGTGGGGTACTTAGAAGACAGCTTTACATAAAGACTTACACGGTTTCAGGAGTCAAGGTGAAGACTTCAGAATAATGAGGATTTTAGCTGGCGTGCCCTTCGTGGATCGACGGAGTCGAAGGCAGCTTTCGTGTCAAGGATAACCGCAACAGTTGATCGACTGTCTCTACTCTAACATTTGACGAGGAGTAAATATATGGTAGATGCTACCACGACCAGAGCAAAAGCATGCTTGATTTTCAGTGATGCGGTTCCCACAGGGATCAGTAAATCGTCGAAGAATGTTACCCGTGAGAAATTGAGGCAATGAAGATAGACTAACACCTCGCACAAATGGACACGATAGTCGCCAGTCTGAAGACACTTCTCCAGTATCTCAAATAGTCAAACAAAACATCAAGTGCAGTCAACAAAGTACCACCTCCACCTTACAGCAACGATGGAGAAAAGCCCTCTGGTCCAGGAGCCTTGTTTCGTTTCAACAAGGCGAGCTCATATCGAATCTCTTCCAAGATAGGATGTGTCATATCAGCTTCCCACGTCGCCTCAGGTGTTTCAGTAAGTGACAATGTTGCGGCAGACCTGCTGAACTGCTCTTCCAAATGTTGCCTCCATTTTTCTCAGCCATTATCTCACTAACTGATGGCTTTCTCGGACCTGTGTTCCGGATGAACTGGAATAACACTAGCTTACTTTATCTCACAGGCCCTTGCCAGCCACCAACGTCCCCAGCGAATTCGAAGACTCACTGTCAGTCGTAGTTTCATGGCATTACAGTCACGCTGAAACCGTACCTATTGGAACCTGATGCCGTGCTGATTGAAAGCCATTCGCAGTTCGGATCTCTCAAGTTGGGCGCCAGAAGCATTCATGGCTCACTTGAGACGATCCCAGTCAAGATCACCAGAGACGCGAAGGTATTTTTAATCGGTAGATTCGGCTCGAAGACTTGTTATAACGGTGCTATCTTGTACGTGCACAACAATATCAGGAGTGAAAAACGAAGGTTAGTGCTGCCTGTTGCCCGATCTGACCAAGAGCGCTGATGTTAACCGAACCAATGTGAAATGAGACACTTGGTTTGATGGACGAATTATGTGTATCCATGGCAGCAGCTGCGAGATCAGCGGCAGTCCCCTGCCCAATAGATGTATATTAGTGTTGAGGGAGGAGAAAAAGTGGGAGTATTATCGACGGGGACAAGAGGGAAGATAATCCTCGCCGGCTGCCCACTCCGAGGGGGGTTTGTTCGAGGCGCCTTAGCTCAACAGTCCGACCCACAAGCCAGTGGGGTACATGGAGGTTTGCTTGGCGGACTACACCCGGAGCCTTTGACGCAACAGCCTGAGCAAGTTCAGCTCGGGTGTGGTTACAGAGACCCACAGGAATCTGCTTGAGACCTATCCCACACCGCCCCTGATGATTTAGAACGATCCATATGTATTTTTCGACCGTGTGTCACGCATCTGTGACAATGGCCAAACTCAGGTGGGAGTTGGAGGGTTTGCACCAATTTGACCAGGGGCTGCTGGCTTAATGCAGGCGGTAGCAGATCCTTGAGCACCCGACAGTGCTCTCCTACCGTCATAGACTGCGTGGCACTCGAGCTTTGCGAAAATCGAGTTGTGAGCTCTCATAGCCATTGTTTTAAATGAGAAGGATCATCGGCATCTTCCAAACCACCAAAAAGGATGCTGAGTCTAAATTGGCCGGGTCCCTAACCTATCTGCTATGAGTGGTTCTGAAGGCGCCTAAAAGTGCCACCCAGTGTAGCTGAATGGAGGTACGCACCAAGTCTCTTCGCAAGGGTACATTAATTGATCAGGGGTAATATGAATTTCTACTTCAGCAGGAGAATGGAAACAGTATTGGGGCAAGACACCCTATTCTCCATAGTCCAGTTCGGTTAGCTGTGCAAATCGCTCAGCCACGATAAAAGTGAACGGCGATGGGACAGAGAAAGAAGTACCAATTGTTTGGTGCTCACAAGGATAAGATATACAAGTGGCGCGGGTCATCAACGAAATCAGACAAACAAGTGATTATAAAGCTGGATGGGGAAGTTATTGAAAGACAACAGCAAAGTGGCCTGTAGAACCACTGGGGGAAGATTAGACACGAAAAACGTGAAACAACGGATAGCGAATGACCTCAATGTTCATGAGGAAGGTTGTGAAATGAGTCAAGAATTGTTTTCGCTGTTCGAAGTATCGGGCTAACAAATGTCCTCTGATTCATCTTCACCATCCTCTCCGAAAGTCGTCTCTGGTTCGGAGGGTTTATATGCTTCGTTATGGATCGCATTCGAGGGTAGATGTGTTTTTTCAAGCGGAGCGTCACTGAATGGTTCCACTACTTCTGGGAGTTTGATCTCTTTCAGCAGCCGTGCGTACTACAAACAGAGAAAAAGAAGAATCAACCTGTTCAAGGAATTGTGGACGGAAGCGAAATAGTATTGCCACTGAACGCGGGAATCTGTTGCCCGGTGGATAGTAACACACAGAAAAAGTATGAACGGAATAGAGAACCGAGGAATAATCTCATAATACTCCATCCAACTAGCCGGACAGGACCATAGGAAGTTTACTAAATACTGGGATGCACAGCTGGACCTCAGAAATCCGAAGGGATTTTATTAAAATATCTAAAAGGAGCGAATTGGGCCATCACTCAAAATGCTGTGTTTGTCCGCCTCAAACGCATTGTGTAGGCACGCTTTCGATCTTAGTCTCAGAGTGGGATATTTTGTTCTGTGTGCTCTTTTCAAGATGCCAATCGACAGAAGCTCTGATTGTTCGCGATTCCCAGTTAAACTTCTGTTTGATAATCTACGTCTGTTAAACCAAACGTTCGCATCTACCTGCACATGTTTCAAAACCCAACGACTAACTTCTGACTGATGTGTAAGGCGTTGGTGCAGTAATTGATGGCCTTATGGTCAAGGTGTCAACCGCGAACCACTAAGTCCTGGGTTTGACTCTCACCTTCGGCTATCATCTCTGCCTGAAGAGAGTCCAAGCAAGAGCGAAACCAGTCGTCGAGTATTGCATTGTTGAGAACAAGAACCGAAAACTACCCCGGATGCAGTCTCCGTGATCGGAATAAGAGAGGTTCAAAGTAAATCATGGTTCGAGGTGAGACTGCGTATCGTAATCCAGCAATCCTTCTATTTTACCCGTCGATCGAACTAACTGGACGCCTTTAGCTTGCTGCTAAGTAAGTAGGTCGTACCTGGAAAACTGACGGTCCTCCGAGTGAAAAATTAGCAACAGTCTATACAATACACACCGAAAATCCGTGGAATGAATGTGTACACTAAGTACAAGGATCACAAAATGGGGAATAAACGAAGAGAAATGTTTGTGTTTCTTCGCACGCCGTTTTGTTTTTTTGTCAGTGTTGTAAACCTGCCTTCGTACTGCTGCAATTCTACGGCTGCGGGACTAAGACCGCCGGATTGCTCAGTTACGCGCTCAACAAACCGACGGGATGCAGAAGGCCAAGGCTCGGTAAACAGGGAGTCTATTCTACACGATAGGTCAGTTCTATTTATTAGTGAAGGAAACATACTAATTTTGGAGGCGTTTGGCTCTCAGTCAATGTGAGTTAATTCCGTTCCACGGATGTTCCATATTTGGCAGAATGGTTCGCCTCCGTTGACTCGGGTTGTATTTGCTGGCCAATCAGTTTACACCCAATTCCCAAATTTGGCGAAACAGTCGAAGGTCGTTCCACTCTCGTGCTGGGGACCTTCGCATGCAGCAGACAGCTCACGTGCTCCTCGGTAAGCCTGTGCGCGACCTCGTATCTGGACATTGGTTCCGCTTACCTCTCTATTACCTCCCACTTTGAATTGATTGCTCCTACCTATTTTCCGCACTTGGGCTTGGTCGTAGCTTTTTACCCTGGGGTCCACTTGTAGCCATCGCGGTTGCCTTCTTCTTCGACTTGCCTTGCATGCCACGTCGTGTGGCGCCTGTGCGACCGGCTGTGTTCCGCTTTGGAGATCAGTTCTGTTTTCTAAACCAAATGTATCTAGTAGTATGTCCCACTGTGGTGCCGCTGGTTCTTGATATCTGAGTTTCGCCATGCCGCTGTCGTAGATGATTGATTTGTCTGGTCCACTTGTCCTTTCCGACCATTATCTCATGAATAACTTTACCCCTCTTTCCACTAACCGTTCCGCTAACCCATCTTTCCGGCGTCTGGAAGTTTCGTGCATACACCAAGTCGTCAATCATGAACGTGCGAAGACTGTTATCCTGTCCCTCTCTCGGTTGTTCGTTACGTTTTCCAACATTTCTGGGAATCAGGCTATCAAATTTCGTTCTGGTTTTTCATCCAAATAGACAACCAGAAGGAGATTTACCCTCCGGTGTGTTTGGATTCGGAGTGTTTCGATACATTCACAAAAACAGCTGGATTGCATCTCGTGACACCCTCGTTCCTTCCGCTTTGAGAAGAGCGTGTTTAAAGGTATCTACAAACCGTTCGGCTTGCTCATTCGATTGTGGATGGTACGGCGGCGAAAACTTGTTGGATTCCGTTTTGCATGCAAAATTCTCGGAACAGCGTTGAAGTGAACTGGATTCCGTTGTCTGTAATCAGCATCTCCGGGGTGCCAAAATCCTGGAACAGTTTTTTCCTCTCATTGCTAGTGTGCTAAGCGGTGGGATTTTGCATCGGAATCACGTCGGGCCATTTTGTGTAGGAATCAGCAAAAATCAAATAAGCTTGATCGTTGACTGGTCCCGCATAATCCAAGTGGATTCTCTGCCAGGGCTTCTTCGACTCGGACCAATGGTGCGCCGAACATTTCGGAGGTGCCTTTGCCGCTTGTTGGCAAGATTCACAACTTTGGCAGAACAGCTCGATTTCTGCATCCATTTGAGGCCAATACACGAAACTTCGCGCCAGTGCCTTCATTCGACTGGTTCCCGAATGTCCTGAATGAAACGGCTGTGGTATTCGCTTCCGCGACTTCCTTGGTACTACGACTCGGTCTCCGAACATTAGACAATTGTCAACGACCGAAAGGGATCTCGTCGATTAAAGAAAGATTGTAACTCATTCGGAATTCTGACATTAGGCCAACTGGACTGCACAAACCCTATCACTTTCAGCAAGATATCGTCTTGAGCCGTCTGCACTAATCGTGTCGGATGTTACTGGCAACTCCCTTACACTGTCAACCAGGATGCGCTGAACTTCCGACTCGAATTTGACAGATGCAATTACGCAGTCATCGTTTTCCTTCAAGTGGGAACCAAGGAGGCGAGATAGAGCGTCAGCTTGGCCGTTGTTGTGTAAATCGGTATTGTATACTGAACTCGTAAGCCAGCAGTACGATTGCCCATCTCTTTAACCGACTTGCTGTGAAAACAGGAATACTCTTCTTTGATCCAAATATCGAGAGTTGAGGTTTGTGGTCCGTGATCAGTTTGAAATGTCTAACATATGGCATCTTTTGAAACCGTTTCACTGCGAAAACAATCGCCAGCGCTTTCTTCTCAATCTGGCTGTAATTTTTCTCCGCCACTGTCAGCGACCGTGCTGCGTGCGCAATGGCCTCATCTTCTCCTCCTGGGAACACGTGAGAAATGACAACACCTACCCCATAATTGGAGGCGTCCGGATCAACAACGGTCCCCAAGTTTGGGTTGAAGTGGGTCAGAAGTAAATCAGAACTGGGCGCTGCTCTAACGTTCCTCCAAGATTGGCACGGATCGCCTGCTGCGCTGATCCTTGGTGGGGATCAGCTAGAAGTCGTCCGGAAATTCAACTACCTGGGAAGTCGTATCAGCGCCTTCGGGATCGAAGACGAGATCACGAACCGTATAGCAAAAGCTCGAAGTGTTTTTGCTAAACTTCGCCACCTGTGGCGGCGGCGCGACATTACTCTCGTCCTGAATAGTAGAGTGTACAATGCAGCGGTACTTTCGACCTTACTGTACGGTTGCGAAACCTGGCCCCTAAGATCGGCGGACATGAAGAGGCTGGTTACGTTCGACTATCTGTGCCTTCGCAGTTTGGCTCACATCTGGTGGAAACACCGCGTGAGTAACGAGCGTGTTCGACCCCTTGTTTACGGCACAGGAAAAGGAAATGAACCGCTCAGCACCGTTATTTGTCGCACCAGGCTCCGTGTTAAGCATGCCAGCCCACCGACTCCCGCGACGTGAGTTGTTTGCGCGCCGGGGGGGGGGGGTGGAAGAAGAAGAGGGGTGGCCAAGCGATGACTTGGTCGAGAGGAATGAAGGCCCTCACTTCTGCGCTGGTCTCGGTTGCAGCGTCACGGTTCCCTGGTTGGGGTCCAAAAGACGGTGAACACGTTTGGCTGGATACGCTTGCTGACATGGCAAGGAGCCGACCTCAGTGGCGTTCCTGCTGTGAGTTTCTTTGTCCCTCCCCATCCCTTTTAGCCTCCCCCTCAACCTACGAACTCAGTTCGTAGCGTAATGTAATTTTACATCATAATTTTTCTTTTGCCTAGTAGCTTACCGGAACGATGCTGGTACCTCAGCTGGCATGCAACTTTTGTATTTATTTTCCTTTTTCCTTAATGTATTGCGGCACAGTAGCTGATGTGTTTCCAACCTCTAGCTGACGTGTATAATGATGATGATATCACTCCTTTGTCCCTCGCCATTCTTTCCCTTTCATCAGCAACTCGTTCAGAGGACCTCTTGTCTGATGTATACTTGGCAGGAAGGCACTATAATGACTTATAAGACCGAGAAATGAACGAAGTTCGGCAACATCCCTTGATGGTGGCATTTGCTTGACGGCTTCTATATTAGCGGGATCCGGATGTCGACCATGTTTGTCAATGATGAACCCGAGAAACTTGCCACTTTCCATCAGGAAATGGCATTTTTCCGCTCGTAACCGGAAACCAGCTTCTTCTAGACGAGTGAGCACCTTCCCTAACGTGGCCAGCAATGCTTGTGGGTCAGACCCCATAATCAATGCGTCATTCAGGTACACTGCGACCCCAGGAATATCGTTCAGCAGCGTATCCATGGTTTGATGAAAAATGGCGGGAGCAGTTTTCACTCCGAATGGCAACCGATTGTACTGGAAAAGACCCAGATGCGTGTTGACCGTCAGTAGTGTTCTGCAGTTCTCGGCTACTGGAACTTGTAAGTAAGCATCAGGTAGATCGAGTTTTGCAAACCGTTAAGCTTGGTATAGGCAAAGGGTACTGGTGGTTCTCCAACATGGAATTTAAACCGATTGAAAAGTCAGCGCAAATACGTACCTTGCCGTTTCCTTTCTTTATCACAACAATGGGTGCCGCCCATTCCGAGTAGTGTGCGCGCTCGATTATGTCTTTCGACTGCAACCGCTTTAACGCAGACTCCACTATTGTTTGTGTTGCGTACGGCACTGGACGTTTTGGTCTAAAAACTGGTCTGGCGTCTGGTTTGAGGTTCAGCTCAGCTCTGGCTATCCGGCAGCATCCAAGACCGGGTTGGAACAAACTTTCGTGGCGTCGCTTCAGTTCTGCAATTTGACTGTAAAGTTCGAGGTTCATATTCTGCGTCTCTGTGGGTTTCTCGACTTGTAGTTTCTGGCATATATTGTTAACTGACTGGTCAGGTAATTTCAATTCCTCCTTCCGACCTAGACCCAGCAAATTCAATCCTGGTTGATCTGTCACAAAACAGGTTGTACGAATGTGCTGATCACGGAAACTGATCTGACAATGCAACTCTCCGAGAATTTGCAAAATACCGCCGGATGCTGTGTGGACAAGCGGTGATCGTCCCAGCATACACCATGTGTATCGACAAATCAAAGTGATGTCTGACGCAGTATCCAACTGCAGCTTAACTTCCTTATCGTTGGTCTTCAAAATTGTAAATTTACGCCTGCCGAGACCGTCAACCTTGAAAGACGCCGTCACAGTTTTGTCCTCATTGTGACATTGGAAGCGCACCGGGATTCGACGCCGTATTCCGCTCATTGTTGGTCGCTTCGCCAGACAACACGACTCTTTGTGTCCTCGCTTACCACAGCGATTGCAAATGTGATTTCGGAACGGGTAGTTTCGACCAAAGTGCCATTCCCTGCAAAAGCAACAAACAGAAGAGGGTTTAGAAAGTGATGAACTCCCATGAACCGATGCTTTTTGAGGACTACGTCTGACCCTGCAAATGATATCCTGGCTACTCTGGATGGATGAATGTTGGATCAGCGCAGCATCATGCTTCAAGTTCATCAACCGTTGGCATTCGTTCGTCATTTCCTGCAGTGTGATCTGTTTGTTCAATTCTGCTCAGTACTCTTGTTCGGGCATCAGCATCTTTGGTTGCTTGAAGACCACACACATAAATAAGGCACTTGTACTGATCAGCTGTCATCTTGTGAAACAACGACCGTCCACACTCACGATTTACGCGACTCCAATAAGTAACCCAGTCTTCGTCGTCTCGCTTGGTCGTTGTCAGACACTGGTATCGGATGTTGAACAATGACGACTGCTCTCCATACTGATCAAGGTGTTGATCAGTAGAATCAGTGCATAGACTCATGCAAACTCTCTATTGTCCGCGATTACGCGCCTTGTCCTCAAAAGTCTCCAACCAGCGATGATCTTCATCTCGGACTCCCCAGCCCGGAAGACGTACGGGGCCGACAACAGCTAGACTGGAAGTCAACGCCATGAAGTAAGTTGGCTAACGCACAATTTCCTCCTGTGCGAGCGTATAGAGCGCGCAGTGGTAAACGCTCGGCGGCATGCGTAAGACGTGATCTAGCCGCCTCAGTTGGCGCAGCGATATTAGCATGTCAAGAAGTAGGCCATCACACCGAAGTTGCAAACTTGGTGTTCTCACCACACACGAGCTATCCTCCACAAACACTGTTGTCAAAGGCCGAAATCCGACGCAAATCGTCTAAACGGGTCAGCCAGGACTCGCTTACATACAACAGGTCCGCGCGAGCACAGGCACTGTAAACCCAGCCCTTTACCGAGAGTGAAACGTCACAACGATACCATATATGCCTCAGATCGGGATTTTGCAACACGGAGAGAAATATCTTTACCGATTGTGCCATCAGAAGAAACGCAGCTCCCAAGGTAGATGAAACCATCTACTTGTTCACGCTGTACGCCGGCAAGTATCAACACGGGGACAGGTGGATGCCAATCCTGAAGGAGGATCTTGTATATCGATGGGATATCGATAGGTCATGCCACACATGGTAGCTTCAATCACCAAGCGGTTTAGAACGATCTGCATAATCTGTGGGTCGTCACCAAGCAAAGCAATATCATCAGCATAGTCCAAGTCCGTCGCACGGTTGCATGCTATACGCCAGAACCCTGGAGATCTTCCATAGCGCTTAATAAGACGTCCTCAATTGCAAAGTTGAAGAGAAACGGGGACATGGGGCATTCCTGTCGCACACCGCTAGTGATGGCGAAAAGTGAAGTGAGCTGACCATAAGTTCTCACTTTGTCAGAAACAGTGTTGTATAAAGCACGAAGTACGGCGGTATACTTTTGGGGTACCCCATTCCTTTGCAGACAACGCCATAAACCAGGCCGATCGACCGAGTCGAACGCAGCTCGTATGTCCAAAAAGGCGACAATCGTAGGCTGGCGACGAAGGTGGCATTGCTGGAGGAGTTGGCGCAGCGTAAACAAGTGGTCTACACACATTCGGAAACCAGCCTGATCCTCACGAGAGTGTAGTTCCCCAATCGGTGTTAGCCTGCGCAGTAGAATGGATGTTAGCAATTTGGAGGCGACGGATATGAGACTGATTCCTCTGTGATTGGTACATGAGGTACGAGTACCCTTTTTGTAGATGGGTATGAGAATCGACTCGCCCCAAGAGGATGGAACCATTTCTCCACACCAGATCTATGAGAACAGAGCCGTTAAATGGTTGACGATCGCCTCACCACCGTACTTGAACAAATCCGGAGGAAGTCCGTCTGAGCCAGCAGCTTTGAATCGTTTCAAGTGACGAAGCTCAAGACAGACCTTCGCTTCGGTGGCTGGTTCCAGTGAAACGTTCCAAGTCGTGCAAGTTGGTCTGCTCGTTAGACAGGGGGAAGGAAGAGGCCAACTTAATTGGGATTGGAAGTGCTCAGCCCAGCGGTTCAGGCGCTTCATTTAAAAATGTGACAGATGTAAACAACCAACGGTGTGCAGGCGTACGTACGTGTCACCCTACAAATCCAAGCGATCAGCAGTCCGAATGGGACACAATTGCTCTATATATGACCAACTGACAAGTGGTAATACATATCCAATTTCTCGTTTTTACGTATACGTAATTTAATGCAAAATTGCTATTGCAAAATTTCCAGTGGACACATTTAAAATGAATATGGATGTCGAAGTTCAGTTCAGTTACGCTACGATCCGGGTATCGAAACGGAATACCTTTGGATCACATTTACCATGGGAAGGAAAAGGAGAAACGTCAGCAATAAGCTGGTAGCCGTGCAAATAGCACTAGTCGCGCGCGGGCTAGTGATACTGGGAAGTCGTGCGCACCTACGCGTTATAAGACGAAGCCTCACCTCTGCAGCCATCTGTAGGTTTATCTATCATGGCGCAGTTGCGGGGCAAGTTGCGCTTTAGAATTCGGTCTCTTTCATCTGACTATTAACATTACTTTCTGAATACTTTTGCTCATTTTGTAATAACCTTTGCTTTTATTCTCCCCACATTTTACCTCGTTTTCCTTAGCATGATCGATTGTTGTTAACCTGGTGGCGCGAATACTCGCAACTGCCTCCAACGCACTTTGAGATCGGAGTCAGTTGTTTGACTGGATTGAATTGCGCCGAATGATATCACCATGACTGAGAAAAGCAAACAAGTCACCCTGACTGAAGATGTCAAAATAGTCCAAAAATGGGATAATAGTCAGAGAAGTTACCGACTTAACGAATGAGCAATAAAGTACTTCCGATGTGGCCGGCAAGAGGATAACAAACCCTGGATGAGCCTAGGCATGCAAACAGATGCTATGTTGATACCAGATTTCGCTCAACGGTGTGCAGTATCGGCACGTAACGAAAACATGGGCGCCTAATGGTCTGAATTTCATGCCTTTTAAGCAAAAACCATAATTGTATTGACGCTATCAAGTTATGTGCGCTTTGAACACGACGGCCGTATAGTGGTTTACCTAGTGTGCGGTGTGTAACAGTGTTAGTAAGGAAGCAGACCTGGACAACATCAAATAGAACATGCAATCATCCGGATGGGCACATTGGACGAAATGCAAGTTGTTGGACAAAATGATGCAGGAATTTACATCGAGATCCAATGTCTTGAAGCAGCTGCTCTTAAGTAGCTGCTCGGCTCTACTCGCGTCACCATCCTCGAGAGCACAGAGAAGTTGGCGGATTTGAGGGTAATCATCACTTTCACCGAACCTCCAGCACCTAGGCAAAGGGACAATGCAACACAAGAAATAAATACGGCAACCAGTGATAATAAGTGATTCAAAGGTGGTTTTCAACAACAAGACAATTTGCTACCGTGTGAGCGCGCCGAGTTCAGTTCCCAATATTTTTCATTCGTTATTCACCTAGCAGCAATCGTTCGACGTCTTCTGAGTTGATTAATGTATACGGATTGTGCACCTCGAATTCCTTTAGACGAACATTGTTCCAGCTCTTCTTTACGACCGTCGGAGCGAATCAGATCCGCGTAAAGTCAGTAACTTCAGAAAGTGAGGATGTTGTGACACTCTAAAGCGCACGTTCGGGTATCTGTTTTACCTTGTCGTTGCACCACAATACCGTGCATCCATTAACTGTCGGGGAAATAGCCACTACTAAGCCACACATGAATAAGTAAATAAGGTGACAGCAACGAATTTTAACGATTACCCAGTAGACGATACGAACGATAACCTTTGCCACATAGACACAAATGAGTTGAACAGACACATCAGCAGGAAGGGTTATGGGCAAAGAAGCGATAATACTGTATCATACAAGGTTAGTGCGGCACGTACTCCATAGCTTCAGAGAAGACTTTATTCGCCGCGACCTCATCTCCTTCGTGCAACTTGATCAACACTAGTGTGACAACGGCTCTGGCGCACATCTTCGGCACGGCAGCGTGGTCTGCTAAGCCACTAACATTTGCTGCAACTGAGTCCGGATTTCCCCTCATCAAATAAGCGATGTATAACCGCAGCATCCGCTCGGCATCTGAGAACCGACGAAGACGAACCCAAATGCGAGCAGCGTAGTTACACTGATCGGCTGCTTCGTGAAATTTGTCCTCCACCTAATAATAAGGGAGTGCAGTGGAAACATCAGTGGGAAGTTGCACTGAGCTCATGAGATATTTAAGTAGTCAATGTGTACGAAATTGGTATCGCTTTCTGGTGCATTTGCACTAAGGGAGTGAAACTTAGTCTCTTCGGTCTGAAGACTTGAAGTGCCTTCAAGTCTTTGATCACCGCTGTCTGCGGAGCATTGCTGGTGTCAGGTGGCACCAACGTGTCCGCAACGATGACGTGCGTAGGCGAGTGCTAGGCAATGATACTCAAGGTAGTTGCTTAGAACAACAGGTAGCACCGAAGAAGTTGCGCTGGCTTTGGCACGTACTACATGTGCGCTGTCAACGCTTACCTAGGAGGGCCTTCTTTTGTTTGCCGGATGTAAGGTGGCGCGAAGCTCGAGGTCTACGAATGACATAGAGCCATCAGAAACCATGGGACTAAAAGAAGGTACAGAAATAGTAAAAGAAAACACATCAAAGTGGACAAACGTCGAATTGGCAGCGGGAAGTGAAGTCAGCGACTACAAAACTAAGTGCAACTAAGTACAAAACTAAGTCCATCTCGTGTTTCAGAATGGAGTCCACCTGACCCGCCTTGTGCATGACTCGAGACGTTACGGGACATGGCTCGCAGTCGGCATCAGTGTCGTAACCTAGCTGGATTGCTTGTTTCAGTTGTGTTTGGTGTTGAGTTATTTGCGGGGTAATGATTGATTATGACGCGGCGTAGCGAAAGCCGCTGTTGCGTGGATGTAGCCTTTGCACGATGGTCAGCTATTTGTGACCACAAGTTGTTGACAAGGTGTAGGCGCCTTCACCCTGATTGTTTGCTTACGGTTACGTCCCCCCTTCTTTTCCACTTAGTATTCTTCGTTCTGTGGGTCATTGTAGTTATACGGTGGCGAAGCATCAGTTTAAATGACTGATGAACTGCTGTTGTGATGATGATGAAACCGAGGTTTAAATTTTGGCGGATATCTCAAGCTAAGTAGAAATTCATGAAATATAATGTGTATGAGCCAGAAAAGCATAGTAATCGAACGCCATTCAAAACAAAGGGGTTATACGTCTTAGATTTCCCTCTTTCTATGCGATTCCAATTGAGCTTATCTCGTCTACTGCAAGCTCCAATTCCCGCCGAAATTAAACCTCAACGACTTGATGCGAATGCGTTGGAAGATAGATTATCCGTTTAGACCCACTCGACCAATGAGGAGATATGTGCATGCGCCACGTTACGAACTTAAATGTTCTTGAAACGACTCGATTCTTCTAATGAACACCGTTAGTTCGAGTAGATTTCTCATTTCAAGATGGGTTTTCCTCAGAGATCTCGCTTCCTTTCGGACAATATGCCATCTCACGAACCAGCTCTGTGTGTAGAAAAGGGTGTATGTCCAAAATTCTTTCATCGTGAACATAACTCACAAGACTGAGGTTATCAGCAATACACCAGTATGCCACGCGTTCGCAAACGGTTGTTCGTGAGCTGGATTACTGTCGAAGAGCCCAACTGCGTACACAAAATTGGACTCGAACTGAGCCGCGGAAAACGCAAGTCAAACACCTGGGTCAATACGCCATGTATCAGCAACTGTAAACTGAACTCCGATATGTCCATTTACTTAGTTCAAATCTCTCTAACACTTAGTAGACGTCAGTAAATGCTCTCAGCAGCTTACAATGTCGCAAAACAGTTGATGGCTTGGCGAAGGGAAGCCGTGCTTCTGAGGTCCAATCCAGTCCACTACACGGCAGCGGAGGATAACAAGCGCTATATCACGTTTAGCAACTAGGTTTGTAGGCTGCAGCCATAGCACATGACCCAACCACGTAAACTGCTTACTATAAGCGGACATATCCTTAGGGATACTTTTAACAAGTAAGTTAACACAAGAGCATTGCGTGACTTCGATTTAGCAATCTTTCTCTGCATATTTTAAAAGTTGTACTACAAACTATGTATATATAGCATCCTGAATTTAGTTTCGTCGAAACTGCAAACTGGCCAAAGCACACATGTCAAGCTGTCATATGTTTCAGAATCAGGGTGCTAACTTAATGATTTGTTTTCAACACCACCTTCCGAAACAGGATGTAAAGCATCTAGAAGATCGTGTTAAGTTAGAAAGCAAAATTTCCAAGCTGTCCGTGTAAGAAGAGTTCCTAAATGTAGAGCGTTTTCCTACTGCTTATTGGAAGAGCCTAAGTGCTCAAAAATTACGATCAAATGCTGGGAATCCGAGGCGAATGACCAGGTGATTTCTTGAGGATACAACAGAGGAACATAGGCAACACTGCGAAATGTAGTTAACCAAGGGACTCACAACCGACGAGTTAAATATGGCAGGTTAACTCAAGTCCATTAACTTCTGTCGCGATACAGTGCGTGAAAGTAAGAGGGTCTAGACAGAACAGCTTGGTTAATCATTAAACCACAAACGGTCTGAACACAGTTTACCATTCCAATCATTAACGTATGATAGCGAGCTTTCCCTGTGCCAGTGACTCGGCCACAGCTAGAAGTTCTGTTCTACAGTTTGAAATTTTGTTTCGCCTGGAAAAACCAACAGCACAGAAACTCAAGGGTAGTGGAGATGTTTTATAGGCGGCGTCAAGAACAATGGTAAGTAATTAAGGATGAAACATGCCGATCCGAGATGTCAACACCGTATCTCCAACTCTAGACAGATATCCCACTCGCGACCAATCAGTTAGAAGCACTAAAGCATCTCATATTAGAAAGAAAGTTGTCATCTTTCACCCAGACGAAAAATGGGCTGTGTAGTTGTATACGTATCGGTTTACGTAGAAAATGTGGTGGTAGTACTGAACAATCGCACCAAGTTCGAACCTGTTGGAACATCTATCAATTCAATGGGATTAAAAAAATAATTGCAGAACTATAGATATTGGAAGGAAATTGCATAAGCGCTTCAACCGCTAAATGCTTGCGACCCAGGAGTACGCAGACACCGCAGCTTCACTGAGGCAGATTCTATCCATGAGCAAATCCCCAAGGTACAAGCTAGTAACGCTATTGGAGCCAAGTAAGCGATCAACGGGCAAACACAACCCGAATGATATGTTCGAATTAGTTGAACTACTGGGAAGTGCCAAGTTGCGCGAAAAATTCATCGCAAGCATTGCTTATCGTCTCGCTGTTTACTAATTTGCCACTAAAGCAGATGATCCAGATAATCTGTAACCACTTGATCGATGACCAGCTAGAAGTGGGTCCTCCAGCCTCGGAACTAGAACGACTTCTGCTATGTACTCCAAATATCAAGTTCTATTTTCAAGAACAAGGCTATCGCCAAGTAGACGGTGTTGGGCAGTCCACTCGGACTAGCAATAGCAGATATTTTTGTTGCCTATTTTGAGAATCAGCTCATGGACGAGAATGAATAGATATTGCAGTTCTGTCGGGACGTTGGCAATGTTCCGCTAATTTCTGACAACGAAGATACATTGATCCAACTGCGTAATGATCTACATCGAAGCACCACTGACATGAGAGCACGAACCTCATAGTGTTCCGCTATTCTATGACATCCTGATAGTGCACAGGAATGAGAGTGCAATTCGCAGGACAATTTGTCCCAAGCCAACATGGAAGAGGCGGTACCTGAACTACAACAGGCTTATCTTTAAGCGGCAGAAGCAAGGTATAGTGGACACTAGTCAAAAGAGCAAGAAAAACGCGCTATCGGTGCACTGGAATATGAGACGCGACTGAGAATCCAACACCCTCGGAGAAAATAGGTACCAACCTTCATCACCAAACTTAGTGGTAGGAGGGCAAGTGTTACATACAACACAATACAATACATAGTACCGAGGCTGAAAGTAACGCTACAACTACCATTCAAGAGAGACGATGTGTGCCAAGTATTTCAGTAGCGCTTGAAATCCACAGTGTCACGCGTATAACTCGTGGCCACATTGTATTGTGGCACAATAGCGTAGATGTTCCTCATCTCCAGCTAACGTAGTGATGACGATCGGTTAGGCTCTGCCTGGCCGTGCAATAGCTTTATAGCAATCTGCATGCGTTTGCAAAGTCAGCTACGTAGGAACAACAGAATCACAATCGCTCACCATCTGCTGGCGGGAAAGCATTGAGGAGGCCCTCAGCACATGTTCTGTGTTATCAAAGCGTCGACTAACCCTAGATTTTACGGTACGCTGAAGCCACAGACATCAAAAAACTCGGCCTCGGATTGTGTGTAGAGAATGCATATCTGACCCTGGCTTTGCAGTGGTAGCAGCCTAGAACAAAGGACGAATTAACGTGTGTGTACGGTTTGATTAATTCGCAGTCCCGAGAGCACTAATTTCACGATGTACACACGGCCTGCACTACACCCCTAAAGTATTTCCAGATATAAATCGTGTGGCACTCCTTTGTTAATCTTTCTGCTAAACGTATCCTATGGAGCTAGTTGTGCACCACCTCCCAAAACAACGTGAAGTATCTACCTTATCAAGTTGAAATGCATAATATCCTGTGGATTGGCGAGTTCCAATAGGGTGAAACGAACGTCCAGTGAACTTTCAAGCGATGGCGGTAGTGAGACTGTGTAAATGTGAGGAAAATAGATGCAGCCCAGTAGAAATGGAACTAGATTAGATAGCTCGGCCAATGCAAATTGGAAAAGCCAGAATGTAACTGTTAATAGCTTGGCCTGAAATTGAACACTGAAGGACATATGTAAGCATATGGGGGTGAGGATGTCTCCTGAAATCAGCCAGAGGAAAGGCCAAGGTTCACTTGTGTGGATGGTTCACCCAGGTGGTTTCATAAGACAAGACGCAATGGGAAACCTACGACTCGGTAGCAAAAAGCAACCTTTACCTTGTGCGAACTTCCATGGCAAGGTAAATGCCGTCATTTCAACCGTTTTCTCAAGTGATTTTTACAACCCCCCCCCACCACCACTGAGCCATGGGTGACAGTGGCGGATCGCCATGACTGGTATCTAACTGCGATATAGCGCGGGGCACAGGGCATATGTCGCGAACTCGTAGAAGTGAAATCATGGGTTCGAATCCAGCAGGACCCGGTGGGTGCGCGCTACTGACCCGTCCTAATGGGACGGACGTCTAGCGCTATTATGGATGCGTGGTGACTGTCCGGTTTAGTGTGGCTCCGGCGAATCTTCCCAAAGACAATGAATCAAACAAATCACCCTACTCTTCACTAACCCGCAATCTGTGTCAAGTCGGCGGAAATTACAGCTAGCTTCCTTTGCTCGAGCCGTTGGAGTAGGTCTGTGTTGGGTTCCGAAACGCGCATACAACCAAAATGCGCATTAATAAATTGTGAACCACATGGCTAAGTCTCGATATTGCTCTCAGCGAACATGTCGAAGGTGATCTGCTCGAACGTATCCCAGTGAATACCTGCGCGCGTGTTGCTCGACCTCGGGACCGACGTGGTTAATAAACACCGTATGAAGACAAGGTGATTCCACTTTGCGTCCATGTTCGTTTCAAAAGAATGCTTCTCAGAGGCGATCGATGATATATTCCGTTAGCAACCGTCAACCCTCTTCTCCATAGCCATGAATACGGATATTGTGAAGGATACCGTGTGTGTGTGTGTGTGTGTGTGTGTGTTGAAAACGTCTGTAGATCGCCTATCGGAATGCGAAGAACGCTTATGAAGTCGCTTCGGAGACGATATCTGCCGGAAGGAAAATAACGATCAGCACCTTCAACTATGTAATGGTAATAGTAATTCTTGTATAAGCAGTACAACCCTCCACACAATCAACGGGCGCCCGTCCAATAAAACAACTTGGACTCGGATCGGTCATATCGCTATCGGCTATAAATGAAGGATGTGTGTGAATGTACGAACAAGACACTAGTCATGCTTTAGTATAGGCTAACACGACGCTTACGCTTTCGGTCTCAGCGAAGCGCCTAACTCGTCCCTTGAACTCTCAATCTGCAAGCAGATAAAAGACGAATTGACAAAAGAGTTGAACAGATTAGACTCCGGTGGAAACCGTCTCCGGTGGCCTTCAAACCCCTTAAGTACCCCCAGGCTGGATGGGTGAATTGTGGAGGAAAGTCCGAAGCATCGATTTGTATAGTTAGATCATAGGCTTAAACGGGATTCTTACGAATGGCTTAAAGCTCTAGCGAGTGGTAACAGCCAACGTGACGAAAAGAGATGGAATAAGTTAGAACAGCTCAGTAAAGTTCCAATGCACTTAACAGATGGGTTTAAGTAAGTCCCAACTTAGTGGGAAAATAGCCACTGAAGAAGAACGCTCCCATATATGCTGACTAGAGCATTGGGTGGTGTGAGCCAGTGGTTGCCTTGTACTTCCAAAGGTCACCTATTCGAATCTACGTACGTGCGGGTGAACTCGCAGTACACCCGGGGTCATGTGGGACTGGTGCCGATCGCGTGGCAGCGAAGCATCGGTACGACATGTCTACGTACTGCTTCTACCTTTTCACTGGGTGTGATGCATTTTGAGTAAAAGTTCAGTAAGCCCGCTGCGTCAGCAATAATCGCTATATCACCGGAATCTATCTGGGAGTTGGCACAGCATTCGTTTCTGAATAAACTCGACTTGAACTCGCTCTATTGATGCAGAACGATGCGCACAGATAAAAAGAGTTCAAGCAACTGTCTGTGAAAGATAGTAGTGACTAGCTAGTTAGCTTATCAACTGTGAGAGTTGTCTTCAAATTGGTAACTACCAATAGTCATTCACAACTATATAAAATGTCAAACAATAGCCTCAAATACGACTGCAGTAGAACAGTTTGCGTCATACTGAGGTGGCTCAGTAGTACGCAAGCGGGTCGAATCAACACGAACCAAGCGGGTTTTACCAAGGTAGAAGAGCCATTTGGACGCAGTTGTTGTACTTCACCAGACGTTGCAACCACGACATACATACAGACGGCTCAGTACGGTGGCCATCTTGGAGTAGGGGACAATAACGGTTTTAGGCGATCGCGTCAACATGAGTGCTGCCCACCTTGGGAAAGTGGAATGAAAACTCGTCCTCAGAGTGAAACATCCCTACAACCAATCCCATGGCCGACTAAGTGACGGCGGAAAATATCTACTGAGGTTACCACAACAAGTGGACTGCTTCACACCGGCCCAGTCGCATCAGAGAATTGTCTATGTTGAATGTTACCACTAAAGACAGTGGACCAAGACTAGCGTTTTAAAAGGTCGCAGTCTGCAACGCAGCCTTTGGTTCGATTTCACATAACGTATACGCGAGCTGACCATCATTTGTGTAATCACTATATAAGAGTACCGACATCCTCGTGGCGGCTAGTGTCATGTGAGCATTGATGATTCTCATTGATAGTCACGTCAATAGTTGCATTTTCTAACCCCTTCGCTTGGGGGCCAATTATAACATGTATGGATGGAGAGGCCAATTGAAAATCAACGAATGGTGTAGCGGAAATGGACGCGGGTGATGATATCTCAAGGCAACAAGCTGCGGATGTGTGGTTGACACGAGTCAGGACTGTGGTTGTACACAATCTGCGAGTTTCTATCCATTAAACTGCTATCCAAGCATATTTAAAGACCAGCGAATAACAAACAGAGGATAGGCCATATCATCTTTGATTCCACTTGGTGTCATTGGACGACTACAGCAATATGTAGTCTTATTTTACAATCTTATGTGCACCCGAAACTTCTCAGCACCACACTGATGTGCTCAAAAGTGAGGACGCACTGGCGAATGTGTAGAAAGGACATTAAGCTGACGTTACTGTTTTAAGGCAAATGACGGAGACCCTGACGTACAATGACCCAGGAGACATCGACACCACCGGTTATATCACGACCGTGTAGACAAGACTTACTTCGCACGCATCCGCAGCACTTTCGTAAAATTCAGCTGCACGTTGTGGATTGGGAGTCTCCAGGTTTCTGGAAGGAAGATAAAAATGCGGCTAGGATGCAACAAAATCGACTCAAGAATGGGATTTCACGAGGGATGAATGTGAACACATCACAAGACAACGGAATTTGGCGACTAAACAGATGGGGATCTTCTGCTATTAGCAAAAAGGCTTGTGGTAAGCAAGTCTCCACTTGTACAAAAACTGTCAGTACGAAGACGAACACTTGGTTCTCAAGTGCATCGCGTAAAAACGTTCGGATCGCAATCACCTGTGTATTTCGTCCATTTCAGAAATTACCGAGCCACCTACAAAAGCATCAACGACATAGCTCCGACTTTGAGGTTGACAAACGAGAGAACAGGCCCCAGAGAAATTAGAAGGGAAATACAAAACGAATTCGGATACAGCGTCAGTGCGACTGTTGGCAAACAATATTATGACTCATCGTTCCCCATAGTGCTACTGTCGAATGCAACACACTAGCCTGTTAAAGTGTTGAAGAAGCTACAAAACATCGCGGAAGTTACGGGCGAGCACGCAGGAATCAATTTTATTCACTTAGCGTTACAACTACCGCTACAGCTGGAGAGGTTACGCAATGAAGGATGAATTACGTATTTCAGCAAAAATTACGTGGTGGATGGTGCTTTACAGAACAATCAAAGTTCCTTAAATTAGACTGTAGACTTGCAAAAAAATCAATTACATTTAATATTCCCGGCTTTCTGGGTTGTAGACATGCAACTTAGAACAGAACCTTAGTCTTGCTAATAGCAATGTGCGAGAACACAGATCGACACGAGAGCAGAGTCCGTGGGACAACAACAGCAGACTCCCAATTCAATGCAGGAAGGATGACTAACCATTGCAAATAGTAATGGATACTGCTACCACCGGTCACTTCTAATGATACTAAATGTGTGGGAATAATGTTGCTCAAATCTATTTCCACATAGTCCACTTCTGTGTCTAGTGCTAACTGAGACCTCTATGATAAGTGCAAGTGGACGGAACTTCGCCGTAGTCAAAACTGTTTGGGTATGAAAAGAAAGTTGTCCAGGAATCATCAAAGATCGCAGTCGTTCTCTTGGAGCTTGTCCAAAGTGTGTCACAAAACTTTATAAACCATATGAAGCATACAACGAATTCTGTACGACAATGGTGCCTGAAAGTTTTCGAGGATAAGCTACATTAGTAGTATTATTAAGAAAAGAACTTCCAAGCGAAAACCACAGGCCAATTAATATTTATTTCCAATAATACAGCCGTTTATGTCATTAATTGTTTAGACACGTCAATGTTAAGCTAAGATTCTCATATATGGCACTATCAACGTCTTTTGTCACAAAATGATTGCAGACAGTGATTCTAATAGGATTGGTGAACCCATAAAAGCCATATTCGCAAACCGCGCTGCTAAAACGATTACGATTTGGACGGATTCCACCGAACTTCTCGTTATATGACTGAAAACAGTAACATATTTCTCTTTTATTGTCACACGAAAGCCAGAATTAAAACATGAACAGTCGCTTCCACGCGCACATAAAGTATACTGATGCTGAAGCAGTGCAGAGATCGTGGGCTTCGTCGCAGCTTACAAAACGTCCGCTGTGATACGGTGCACCTTAGTGTCAGCGAATAATAGAAGCTCGAAGCAAAGAAGAGCAAAAAAGGGACGAAAACAGGTGGAATAGCTTGACTGATCCATTCAACTGCCAGATTTCGATAGGACATTTACGCAAAGGGTAGAATGGATGCCAGCGTTCGAGTGGCAAGCAATGAAAGCGAACAGCTCACTTGGAAGACAGACTGTTGGGAGCAAAACACAAAAGTGCCGTTCAATGTGCAAAAGGCAAACAACTGTCAAAGACGACAGCCTGTGCGAAATAAACTTAGGTGGACTACGGAAGATGTTAAACATCACTATCAGGAGCGAGAACGGTTTTAAATTCGTAGCATGAAGCTGGTCGGAGGTTGGTAGGGATTACAGTCATTGATGCGCTAGACGTCAGCATAGCGTGAACAGATTTCACGACAAATCCTTACGCCAATATAACCTTCATATATGGTTACCAGCATCCGATTTCGGGTTTGCCTGTCCCTTCAGCCTCCATAGAAACAGCCGTAGGAGGCCTGCGCCTACAGAGGGACCATGGGTGGTTCGCGCTACACCACGCAGAGCTCCGTCGACACATCCAGCACTTGGTCCGAAGAGATTGCCACTCGCCTCTTCGTCTCAATAATACGACCAATGCTAGAGTATGGCTCTCCCGCGTATTGTCCTATCACCCGGGGCGAGGTGGAAAAGCTAGAGCGAGTGCAGCATTTAGCCACCAGGCTGATTCCCAACTTACGAGGTGTACCGTACGAAGAACGGTGTAAGAAACTAGGGCTGTACACCCTAGCTTATCCTCGACCGAGGGCTGACCTCATCATGACTCACCGGATATTACATCTGGGTGATTACCCTATGTTGAGACCACTGCTGCATCTACGCACACCAAGCAGCACACGAGGACACCGGTATAAGCTTGTAGTACCGGATTTGAAACGGGTCGCTCACCAAGTCTGTTTCGAACGCAGAGTGGTGAATGTATGGAACGACCTGCCACAGCACGTAGTAGAGGCAAAGTCAGTGTCGGAATTTAAGAATTTCCTTGACAAACACTGCCGATGCAAAATATAGGGAGCGGAACACAATATAACAGGTATTTGTCCATGAGAGAAAATTGATGCAGCTACACAGAGCAAGCTCTACTCGCTGCTTCTAATCAGTAATCACTAATCCGGGGTAAACTCGAGAGAATAACACTGGGAGGCATGTGGATGGGAGCCAGGTTTCATCAACGGAGCCGGCCCATACTCCTTCAACAAGCAGAGCAGAAGCATTTACGTTTAATTTGGGAATCATGCGTACCAGAGATACACAACGCGGTGGCTGGGCCGTAGTCCATTCTACACTAGATGCATGGAACCACGCTTTGGGCCTTGCACGGTCACGAGGACCGTGCACTCTGTCTTACCAAGCAACGACCAACTGTCTTCTGGAAGCAGTATAATCGAGACAGCGGTTTTTTAGTAGATAAGTGACTTGTCAACATTCACATCAAGCGCAGCCACATCGGGGATTTCAAAAACCAGACACAATATGAAGGAAAACAAACACGCAACCTGGACAACAAATGTACGGCAGTACAACAAAACAGCGTAAATAAAAATTTATGAATTAAGTCCGGATGATCTTGGGCATGTGCAAATGTAAGTCAGGGGATATCAACCAACGAGCAAAGAAAACGATATCAATAAGCGAAAAATAATCAGGGAATATGCGTAGAATAAACAAAAATGTGCAAATAAATGGGCGAAGAGAAATCCAGTGTATTGCAGAACTAGCCCAAATGCGATGATGAAGCACAACAAATGCAACATACATACATCTGCTCATAAAATAGTCATCGTCACCAGAACGCCATGGATTTCGCGAAACCAATGTGTTGATTCCTCAATAAAAGCTGCGACTAATTCCCAAACTATTGTATGGTTTGCAGAAACAGCTCGATAAACCACAACAAACTATCCTGAGGTGTTAACAGTAGATGTCGCTAAGAAGAAGCGAAAGTAATGGCTCAGTCGTGTGTCCAAAACAGGAGACTTAAACCTGGGGCAGGCCAGTTTGAGTTATATGGTTGGTGTATACATGGTTGGCTGCATCCGGTTTCGGGTTTGCCAGCCACAGAACGCCTGCGCCTACAGAGGGACCATGGATGGCTTGCGCTGCACCACCCACAGCTCCATACACACACCCCATATCCAGTGTAAACCCGAAGAAATAAGACCGGGAGGCATGCGGATGGGAACCACGTTTCATCAACGGAGCCGGCCCACACTCCTTCACAGGCAAACACAAACACGCTGTATTTGGGGAATCAAGCGCACACAAGGTAGTGGCTGGACCGTAGTCCGCTCCACACTGAGTGCATGGAACCATTCTTCGAGCCTAGCACGGCCACAAGGACCGTGCACCCCGTCCCCTCCAGCAACGACCCACTGTCTCCTGGAGCCAGATGGACGAGGTAGTGGGTAATAGACAGGTAGGCACCTTGTCAACATGCACATCAAGCGCAGCCATACCTGGGATGTCAAACAACAGCCAATCATTCGAAATGCCGATATCGAATAAAGTAAACGCATATGACGACATAAATACTCGCTAAATGAGCATATGGAAGAAATTGGTTAAATGTGAATACACGATAAGTATAAAATGTCCGAAAGTTATTCAAAAAATACCACGCGATAAAATTACGCAAGTTTACCACAATTTGCATGAGCGACGTGTGTAAGTTGGGAGAAGATTATCAAGTACGCAGAACAAAAAAATAAAATGTAATGAATTTTGTCACATTAAAAAGACCTAGTTTAAGTGTAAGTTGGTTTAGCCCAACTGCGGTAAAGAAGCATCATGAATGCGACATCAGCCTCAGCATGAGTGTATACATACCCTGCTACTATAAACATTGCTGCTACAATTTCTGGTGCTCATACATAGAATACGCTTGATAGTTAAAAGTTTTCTTTGTGACTCTGATAGCGAATGCAAATTTTTGAGGCAAGATTTATCGCAGCTAGTTAGTGGACATAGGTTTTTATCTCTGCTTCATGATGCAGAACCTCAAACCAGCAGTCGTACATGGACCTATCGTTTGCAAACCGTGTAACGGGTGACACTCGATATGCTTAAGATTCGGGACCTTTAAAAAGACACGCATGGATAGAACGTTTCGGTGACTGAGCAATGAACTACACATACATACAAATCGTAATCTCTTAAGGCATCGACTTCAAGGATGAGAAACTGTTTGGGGTTTGATTCCAGTTGTCTCAGAACCAATGTTGCGAAATCAATAAAAACCAGTAATAAGACGTAGAACAAAGCCGACATCACTGGCACACGCTATGCCAGTTTCTATCCTGCTAAAGGGATCTTCGTCAATCTTTTGTGCATTATAAGTTAAACTCCGCAATTGATTTTCTTTGCATTTTACCACATTAAGATGCACGGAAAAGAATATGAAAGTGTCATCGCAAGTGCTCTAAAAGGTCTGTCGGTGGTAATCAGAAGGAGAAAGAAGTTCTCATAAAACCTAGTTGACGCCATTTGAAGACTTACTTCGCAGCACGTTCGTAGAGATAAGCTGCGCTATCCGGTGCTCCACATTTGCGCATAAGTTCCCCACTGTGCGCAACGAGCTCAGCCATTTGATCGTACTGTTTTAAATCTCTGTACACCAACGACGCGTTTTCGTAGTTCTTAGCGCAGTGAAAATACGAACCAAGTTGATAATGCAGATCAGCTATCTGTAGCATGAACAAGCCAGATGGTGTGGGAAACATACCGTTTTGTATAGTGCGGCAGCTTTTTCAAGGCATTTAGCATTTCGAAAGATTAGTGCAGCCTTTGTGTAATACTCTATTGCGCTGTCGTAGTCTGGGGTGCGTTTAAAAAACGATTTGCTTAAGCTGGATAGAGAAGTAAATGAGGGAAATCGACTGACCTTTTTTCCGCCTTCGCTATGAAGTCGTTGGCTTCATTCAGCTTGGAGTCCATTTAGTACTGATGATCCCTTGCAATTGGGCCGTGAACTGAAATACGAAACATACACGTTCAAATCACACTACACACGAAGGGTTACAAAGGGTTGGTGAGAACGAAAAGATCATGACCTCTCCGCAATAACCTCGTAAGCTGACGGACGTTAGAGCACGCCAGAACACGCATCTTCAGGATAAAGTTACTAAGACTAACTACAACGCAATCACATCGCTTCGCGAGATGGCCCTACACATCAAAGACCAATAAAGATTCGATCGTCCCATACAATTTTCCAGACTTAGACCCTGAGGCGGCTTTGTAGTGACTCACAAGGAGGGTTTAAAGTAGAGCCACTGGGTCACGTAGTTCAAGTTCAAGTGGGACTGGAACAGTAGGATAAATTCCCGTGGATGTTCCTTCCGTGGCGCGTCGTTGATCCGGGGTATTATTCGTCCGCGATAACTGGAATCTAGAAAACCCAGATCAGCACGCGCGAATCACACCACGGTCAACCAACCAACCCATGCGATCTGCATTGACAGTCCTCGCCGCACCGGTCACGTGAAATAAGAAACAGAAGTACGAAAGTAATAAGAGCGTTAAGAACTAAAAAGTAATAGATTTAATAATGCAATAAGGCGAATAAGCTAAGATGTGAATGGAAAAGTTAAGAGCTGAAGGTCAAGAGCGTCAAATCGGTGTTCGAACTCCTTCACCGTTGGTGTCAATACCACGTTCTCGGACAGTGTATTTCAGGAATCCACCGCTCGGTGTGATAAACGAAAGTCCGCCCGGACTCCATCCGATCGAGGTTTGTGTAACCTCATCGAGTGATCTCGGAAAGATGGAAGCCGAGAGAAATTGGGTCCGATTTTACCAGTAAGCATGCGATAGGTCAAGATCAGATCGCCTCAATTCCGACGAGAATGCATTGAGAACATGCTCAGCGCAAGTAGTTTTTCTGGGTAAAAAGGGTTCTGTAGTACATGAACAATTTTGGTTCCAACTGTCAACACTCCACTGACATCCTGTTCCTGACTAAGCATGGTGGACAAGTCTGGATGTAGTATACCAAGTATGGCCTGACAAATGCTGAGAATAATCTAACAAATATATTGTCCCTTGATGGTCCCGAATGGCCTGCGGATCATCTACAACATTCTGAAACCTTTGCACGTAGCTTTTCTCTAGTTCTCACTGGATTTAATTCCTGAAGACAACGTGACCCCTAGGTCTACCGGTTGAGAAACATGCTATAGTTCATTCCCGCCAAGCAGATAACGCGTTTGGGGGTCATTTGTCCCTAAGCTTAAAATGGGACACTTTGCATAATTTATGGGCAACTGCCACAGAGCAGCCCAGTCCCAAAATTAATCGAGGGCCCGCTGCAGAGTCCATCGAGGTCGGACAATGTGTGCCAAAACTTTAAGTCATCTGCAAACATGAGAGACGTTACCTCCAACAGTTCGGGCAGCTCATTGACATCCAGAGAAAATAACAATGGGCCAAGCATCGAAACCTGAGGGACCACACTGAGGAATGATTGACGGACAGACTGGGCCCCACACGAACACACATCTCTATGCCTACCAGAAATGTGGTGATCCATTGTAGTGCACGCCCTGATATGCCATAAAACCGAAGCCTCAAAAAGAGGTACAGTGTCGAACGCTTTGTAGAAGTCAAGAAACAGTACATCTACTTCATGACCCCGATCCAAATCATCTGCCCAACATTCGCGTGCAACTAGCAAAGTAGTCATGCAGGGGTGACTCTTTCGAAAACCGTGTTAAAGTGGACTGAGCAGATTGTTTTCAATAACACCCCTAACCAACTTCTACAACAACTTGGCCATCAAGCTTGTCAAACTTACCGGTAGATGATTGGCAGGGAGATGCTTGTCGCCCTATTTAAAAATCGGGCATACCATAGCATCCTTCCAGTCTTTGGGTGAGGAGCAGCTGCGAAATGACAACTGAAATAAACGTGTAATTGGGCCACATAGCTCGCTTGCAAGTTCGTACAAAAGCATTTGGTGAATATCATCCATCGCAGCGGATTTGGCAGGATTTAGCCCCTGAAAATGACGGAGAATTTGTGCCTCCGTAATTGAGAAGTCAGTTAAAAGGGAGTCCTGTGGGACTTTCATATCTAAGTCAAGATGCGGCAACGGATCCTCCCGAACAAAAGTCTCAATATACTGCGCGCTGGGTAGACATGCTTTCTCGTGATCAGTATCGGCAGTGGCGTCGTCGCTGCCAAATAACACGGGGATAGATGAGTCAACGTTACTGTGCCTTTTGACGTAGGCGAAGAATCGATTGAGGTTTGCGGAGGCTGAGTTAGCCAGCTCTATCTCATAGTTAAGTTTAGTAGCACGTAAATGACTCTTGCAAGCATTTCGCGCTTCATGATAACGCCGAAAAGTACATTCCGTGAGAGCTGCCTGGTAGATCCGCCAGCATTTCGCCCGTCTATTCCGTAGCTCATGTGCAACTGAGTCCAACCATGGTGCCTTCGCCTTGGCAACCTATTTCACAGAAAATGGGATGTGGGAGAGAAAGGACTTAAACGTATCCTAAGCCGTCGGTATATCACCATACGACAACATGATGCATGGGGAACTTACTGTCCTAGCTCTAACAGACTGAAAGTCGGCGTGCAAAATGTTCGGAGTTCGGATCCTGCGTGAATCGCTAATCAGAGCACAATTGAATGACAAACACACGTGATCACTAGCTCCCAAAGGGGGACCATACTCAAGGTATCTCAAAAAGTCAACCGACTTTGCGAAAACTAGGTCCAAGAGAGAAGGAGCATGACCATCTATATACCTGGTGGGTCGATCGACAAATTGGTGTAAAGGTACCTCCAGTGTCAAGTCAACAACCTCGGCAGCCAACCCTTTTGTAGCTGCCTCATAAGATAGGTCATGCCAATTTATTTCAGGGATGTTGTAATCTCCCATTATCAAGCATCTGTTCGCAGAGTGAGTGCGGATGAGGTCGATGAAACTCCTAGAAGTGCTATCAGGGCTTCTAGACAGCAACACAATTGTAAATTGCGTTGACTCAGTACAGACTTCAAGTGAAAGAGTTTCAACAGTTCCATCAGAAGAGTTAAGTATGTTTTTGATGTTTACACCACATCTGATGTACAGGGCGACTTCACCCCCGCGGCGATCAGACCTCAGTAGTGTGTAGCTCGGAATGTATAATTCACTGTCCATGATGTTGTGGTTTCCGCTGACAGTACGGATAACCTGTTTGAAATCTGCTGTGCCGCCCTCAATCAGTTCAATCCGCAACGAAATTAGAACGCCAAAACCAGCCGGACCAAAGGGATCCTGATCCTGATTCGTCCAACTCGAGGTAAAACGATGCCATTGGCTTACTCCCATTGGTTAGGCAATCAGCTGCAGGCGGCATACAACCAATCTTCTCCGGGCTGCTCCAGACCGGGCTCCGGTAACACCTCCCTCGCGAAAAGTAAAGTACGACTTCCTCCTAGGGTCAAGCTGCATTCTGATCACGGACCTCCGTATCCGATCAGTCCACCGTCGTGGCTGCAAGGTCGTTTCTTTTGTGGTCACGGTGCTAGGCTCATTAGATGGCTCCTGAGTTCCAGGGTGTATGTCGAAATTGTCCAGCAGAATATCCAGTGGCAGCGATCGTTCACTGGCATTTATCCGAATGCTGGTAGGCCGCAGCTGGTTTGCATGTCTGGTGCATATCAAAGAACCCACTCGAAGTTTATATAGCACTTGCCCAAGTCTGCGGTCGATCGAGCCTGTGGTCCATTGTGGTCTTCCATGGCGATAGTCTCTAACTAAAACACTCTGTCCTGGGTGTAATAGATGTACCTGCGTCCTATGCCGCTGATTGAAGTAATTTTCTATTCTCGCATTCCTCTCCTGCGGAGCGATACGCTTTGGAAGCAGCAAGGAATTCAGAGTACGGAGTGTCCTGTCCATAAGCGCTTCTGCTGGGGACAGCTGGTTTGGCACCTGGGGGTTCAGAGTTGATATGTAGAGTAAAAGGAAAACATCCAATATCTCTTGGGTAGTTCTTTCCCCCTCATCTTCAGCGACGTCCGCTTAAAGGTATCAAAAAGGTGCTCAGCTTGCCCATTGGACTGCGGGTGGAACGGCGGCGAGCGTAGGTGTGTGATACCGTTCTGCGTACAGTATTCGGCGAACTGTAAAGATGCGAACTGAGGGCCATTGTCAGTAACCAGGGTCTCTGGTATTCCATGTTGGGCGAAAAGTCTTCTCAGTACGCCAATGGTTGCGCCACTTGTTATGCGTCCCATGCAGAACACTTCCGGCCACTTACTGAAGGAATCAACAACGATAAGATACTGTTGTCCATTCACGGGACCAAAGAAATCCGCGTGTACTCGCTGCTACGGTTTCCTTGACAACGGCCAAGAAGACAATTCCGCTTTCCGGGGCGCCTTGATTACAAGCGCACATTCCGGACACGATTTCACTAGTTGTTCCAGCCCCGAGTCGATATTCGGTCAGTAAACTTAATTCCGTGTAATCATTTTCATTCTGTTAATGCAAGGGTGTCCACGATGGAACTGCCGTAGAATTCTTTGGCACAGCTCACTATGAATAACAACGCTTTCCGACAAAAGTAAACAACCACTGACGATGGATAATTTGTCTTTTCTCCGGGACAGGCTTTGCAATTCCCGTCAGGTTGCCCTTCGGCCACTGTGTAGTATGAAATTTGACTGCTTGTTGTAGGACAGGATCCCGCATCGATGAATCACGTATCATCTCAAAAGTTACCGGAAGCTCCCTGAGCGTTTCCAACACCTGATTCACTTCGACTCCAGAGAGATCACTGAAATGATAGATTCTTCTTGCTGGAGCTACTGGCTTTCCAATAGTCGGGAAAGTGCATCAGCTTGACCAATGTCCTTTTTAGAAATGTGCTTCACCGTAAGTCGTAGTCCAGCAAGGTAGTAGCTCACCGCCGCAAGCTGTTTGCCGTATAGACAGGGAT